TCAGGGCTCCAGTCCGTGGACTCGTGTGAGCTTAATTACTTCCTTACTCCAAATATAGTCTCAATGAGAGTTAGGACCTCCACATATGAATTTTGGGGGGACATAGATCACTCCATAACAAGCATATTCACTGTAGTTGTTATTTTAATACCCCATCAACTGTCTATGTCATAATTTGCTTTTGTCCTGTTTTTGGACATTAGGTTATTTTCCAGATTTTTAAAGAACATCAAGAATGCTAGAATGCACATTTTCATGTATTTAACTGTTAGCTTTTTTCATTTCAATGACTTAGGCTAATTCTATCATGCTGACTAATGTGAACATTTTTACCGTTCCTGAGACATATCATCATTCGCCGTCCCAGAAGCTCTTATTTATTCACCTGCATGAGTACTGGAAGAATGCACTTCCGTAATGCTACAGGTTATCATTACCTTTATTTTTTGTTAGTTCATCTACCCAAAATTCTTACTCATTTTATTTATTTATTTGTTTATTGAGATGGAGGCTCTCTCTGTTGCCCAGGCTGGAGTGCAGTGGCACGATCTCAGCTCACTGCAACCTGTGCCTCCCAGGTTCAAGTGATTCTTCTGCCTCAGACTCCCGAGTAGCTGGGATTACAGGCACCTGCCATCATGCCTGGCTAATTTTTGTATTTTTAGTAGAGATGGGGTTTCACCATGTTGACCAGGCTGGTCTCAAACTCCTGATATCAGGTGATCTGCCTGTCTCAGCCTCCCAAAGTGCTGGGATTACAGGTGTGAGCCACCACACCCAATCATCACTCATTTTATTCCATTACCTCCATAATGAGTAAAATCAAAAATTTTCAGTCTGCTTCTTAACAAGTAAAAATATCTTCATCAATATTAGATATTATCCTTATTTTTAATTTTTGCTGCTATGTAGGTATACTGTTATTTCTCATCTATGTTTATTTCTTTTTCTATAACTGGCAAGATTAAACCAAAAGACAAATACAGGGTGATAATGGGCTTAGTAAGCATTGGGGCAACATTTGCTATTCATTTTTTAAGGCTATATGTTCATATTTTAAAGAAATGATACCTGTCAGAGGAGACAGAAAAAAAAAAAAAAGATGTGAACCCCTGCCCATTACAGGGATGTTTGGACGAGCCCTTCGTGACTTGACAGGTGAAGGTTGTCCATAATAGTCTGCTATCTCTTTTTTCTGTTTCCCCCTTCCTCCTCTCCACAGCTCTAGTATTGGCACCTTTTAGTACCCAGTGACTTCCCGTGCTGTGCCACGGCTGCTGAGTGCAACTCTCTCAGGGCTACCCTGCACTTGGCATCACTTCATACCACAAATACTCTTCTCTCCTCATTAAGCAGATTTACTAGGGAATAGCGTCTCAGCAATTAATAAAAACACTTCAAGCTCCGTCTCCTTAAGATATGCATGACAAATAATGGCATATGCATTTAAAGACAGGTGAATCTGAAAGAGTGAATTTGTTGTGATGGTGAAACTTCAGACAGAGGGGAAGAATTAGGACACAGAGGTGAGCCAACCTTGAAGTAGGACTCAGGAAATACCCACAAGCTCATTATTCAACAGCTGGCAATTCTCTCTCTCTTTCTCCTTCTCTTTAAACATTTTTATTTGGAAATAATTTCAAACTTACAGAAAAGTAAGCATATGCTTAATCTATTGTTAACATTTTACCCCATCTGTTCTTTCTCTCTTGGCGCACACACAATTTCTTTTTCTGAGACATATGAAGAAGTCGCATACATCATAGTCTTTCATCCCCGAATACTATGAGTTTCCTAGGGATAAAGATATTCTCTCACACAATCACAGTAGGGTTATCAACAGCCTAAATTCAAAATTGATGCAACTTCTTTTATCTGATCTATGATTTACATTCCAATTTTGTCAGTTGACTGCAAAGCATGCTTGATAGGATTTTCCCGTTTTGTACAGTTCCCGGTCTATGATCAGGCTTTGCATTTAGTAGTCATGTCTCGTTAATCTCCTCTAGCATGGAACATTTCCATCATTCCTGCTCTTGACATCAGCCTCTCTGAAAAAAGAGGGCGTCAGGCATATGTGCGTTTCAATCCTGGCTTTATGACCTCAGAGCTGAACAACCGCAGGCAAGCTACTTTGCCTCCCTGAACCTCAGTCTTCCCATCTGCTAGACGGAAATAGGAATATAATGAAATGCAGTGAGAAGTCAATGAAATCATGCAGGGTCCAAAGGCACCACACAAGGTGCCTGGAACCTAGTAAGCAATCACCGCATTTGATTCATGTAATAAATGTAATATAATTAGTTCTGTTTCTGTCACTTACTTGCTGTATAACCTTGTGAAAGTTGCTTTGCCTCGCAGAGACCCAATGTCCTCGGTTGTGTAAGTGGGGCTTTTAATACCTGCTTCCTAGGATTGAAGGACGTAACCTAGGCAAGGCATCCAGCTCAATGCTGGCGCATGGAAGTGTGCAGTCAATGCTAGTTCCATTTCCTCTTGCAAATACTGACTAGCTTTTCAGCAATAAGGCCTCCATTTCCCTTATCAGTGTCCCTTTCATACAGAATCCTCAAAAGGGAAATACACACTTTGTGAACGTTAACTCCAGGAGCAAAACCCTTACAGGAGGTGCTATCCTTTGAGAAGTTCTGCACATCCAAAGAGGATAGCTCTTTAAAGGAAAAACTGGAAACTTCACCCTCTCTGTAGATGTTTTTACCAAGCGTATTTTGGAATAATCTTTTCTCTGTTGGTCAAACAAACTGCCCTCGTAGGTGTGGTGGGTGCGGTGGAGGTTTGGGGAGTGGGGTGTTGGTGTGCCTAGGGTGGCCGTGATTCATTGTTGATTGAAATTAGACTCTGGCATCCATGTGACCTTTGTGTCATCATGGAAACTCTGATGAGAGTGACTACCCAAAGCAGAGCTCTCCAGGGCTCAGCACCCTCCCTCCTGGAATGTGTCCCAAGGTCTTTCCAGAGCCAGTCAGTCCTCTGCTCAGTGTCACCTCTCCAAGGAAGCCTGCCCTGGGCTCTGCATCTAATGTTGACCTCCCTGTTTTCATGTCTTCTTAGCACTCTATGGCCTGACCTATCTGTTTATCTGATTCTTTTCTGTTTCCTTCACTATCTGTAAGCCTCAGATAGATTAGGGAAGATGCCTGTGTTACTCTCCACTGAACCCCCAGCCTAGGTCATGGTGGTCATCAATTTCATTGGTCACCAATATCCGTTGCTTCAATAAATGAGTCCTCTTCACCCTGTGATAATGAAGCCCAGTGAAGGCCTTGAGCCCCACCATGACTTGGAGGGTGCATTGTGAGAGCTCAAGAGGGTGTCTGTGGAGGACACGCTAGGATTGAGTTGGGGGGTCATGACATTTGATCCCTGAAGGGAGAAAACAGCTTCCACTCTAGGATAGGGTTTCCTCTTTCCTTCTTTGATTGCAGGTGGTTGTCATGATCCAGTCCATCCTGGGTGCAGAAACCCTGGGGCTTGCCAAAATTTCCTTTCTGAACCATCTTTTCAAACATGCGGGACATTCTCTGTCCAATCGAGCTGCAGGAAAAAAAAAATAGAAATTTGTGGATGCAAAATGAGATTACTGACGTAGTTGCTGAAATTTATAAAACTCACCCAGTGATAGGCAGTGTGGTTGTCTGTGAAGGGGATAACCATGAAACCTTCAAGCTCTCCTTTGTACCCCACAGCAGGTGGAATCAGGACCTATGTTCGAATCCAGTCAAGCTATATACATCTGTGTGACTTGGGCAGACGCTTTTCCTCTTTTAAGGATCAGTTTCCTCCTCTGTAAAGTAGGAGTGATAAAACCTATCAAACCGTCAAGATGGCCCCATGACACGGGGCCGTAAAGGTCACATAAGGGCTTCCCTGTTGTAAGCTTAAGCAGGACAGGATCGGGCTCAGGACCGAGGCCTCTGGGACCACGCTCCAGGTGGCTAGGGGACCACAGATAATGCACTTCACCCCTCTCAAGCCTCGGTTTTCTCACTTGTAAATGGGCCATGATAATACCCAGGGTATATTTCCTAGGGCTATTGGGAGAACTAGTTAGAATATATTTTTCACATAAAATGTCATTCAGGTAATTACGGCTGTTTAAAGCCTTATAAACTTAGATTTTGCCCTCCTAGACAGAAATGAAACAATTGCTGTGATTGGGTCTGATTCATACCCAAACCCCTGTACAACACAACAGACTTATTGGAACAAATCAGTGAAAACAATTGCTCTTGTAAGTTGTCAATATCCTATGCAACAAAAGTGCTGGTTCCCATCTGCCAGATGGGTATAGTAATATAATGAAATATATCATACCCAAATCCCTACACAAAACAACAGGGCATATTGAGCATTTAGGCGGAGTTGAGGGATATCTCCAAGAGAAAAGATGGAGTTGTCACCTCCCACATGCTCTGCTGCATCTTCTCTTTAAGTTTTCCCTTTGCCCAAAGCGACATGGGCCATCCGTTTAATCAGCCTCCACCGCAACTCTGTTTAGTTCCTCAGGAAGCCAAGTCAGCAACTGCTCGGACACCTCATCCCAAGATGTGCTGATGGAGTATGGTCTGCCTCAGAGGGCCTCCTCTTCGATTAAGCCTATACTGTCTGGTTTGTTTGTGAACAGAGCTCGGTGGGTGCCATGTGGCTCAGAGAGGTGGCTGGAAGTGACCTTCCATGACTCAGTTCCACAGGTTTGTTTGCAAGAACACAGACACACGAGTGGCCGCTGACAATATGTGTTCTAACATCATATATGGGGCATATTTTGCTCAGAAACATGCCCTGTTAGTTGTTGAAACCCTTTTGACATTCCCTGAAACAAATGACATTATGGTGTATTTTCTTTTGGGGGGCAGTAAACAAGTCTTCTATGTTGACAATGATAATATTATATTCTACAATCTATTTGCATTTCTCTATTCTGTGGATTTTATTGCTTAGTATAAATCCCCAGGCCGAGGTGCATTAAGCTTCACTCAGGGAGAAACAACGCATTTTATCATAGGTCTGGACAGCTACATGCGCAAGATGCTACTGTAGGGATTGGTTTTGGCCAGATGTGCAAGAGAGATGCATAGAGAGGAAGAAATGCATACACGTGTGCGGATTTTGGCATGTGTACAAGTAGCCTCGAGGATTTTCTTTGGGTCTACAGTCAAAATGGATTTTCAAGAGGAAGCTGTCTGAACACACACCTCTTCCCTGTGCTACATACCGTCCCATCTCCGCCAGCCAGGTTTTCAGGAAAGTGATCAGCACTTGCTTCAGCTCTGGCTAGAGCTCTTTGGCCAATGTGATGGGCAGAAAACTGGAATGAGGACAGAAAAGCACCTCGGAGGCTTGAAGAGTCAAGTCTCCCACCACCTTGCTGTAGGTTTGTTGAATACTTCTGAGCGTAGGAACATTTTTTCTTAACAGACAAGTCAGGAGCTGCTAAGATAAACCGTAGCAGTAAGCTCGAGCCAGGTTTTAAGTTTACCATTGATCGGCCACCGAGTGCTTGCTATGTGCCGTGCATTGTGCTAAGCACCATCTCATTTAATAGTTACAGCAATCCTGTGAGGTAGGTGCTACTGTTATCTCCATTTTACAGATGGGGAAACTGAGGCACAAGTTTCACAGCTGGTAACTTGTGGAATAGAAATTCAACCACTGGAGAGTCTGGGTGAAGTTTTTTGTGGGAGGAGAAAATAGGCTGTCTAAATTTGCCTTGGGAAACCATCATGGTGGTCACAAAACCACTTCTACGGCTTGCCTTGATGTAGCAGGAATGAACATTTAAAGGAAGAATGAGCGTGTCGTGGTTACGATGGGATGATGATGTCTGATGAGTTGTTTGGTGTCTGTGTCTGTAACGCCTTTCTACTTCGGTCAAGGCTATCATCTTTTCCTCTCTTTTAGTGACGTTTCCTAGATGTAGAAAGTGGGAGTATATTGGGCATCTCAGAGTTTTTGGCTGAACTGAAGGATCTGGTGATAACTTTACCCCCAAATCTTTGGGAGAAAAATAGGCAGTCCCTGCTTCAGCTCTGCTCAGAACACCTCACACACGCTGGTTTCTGTGTCACTAGACTAGTTAGGTTAACCAAATGGGTCTTCTAAATACCCAACTTTTTATAGAAAACTTCTGTGGCTTGGATTATTAAAGTCACAAATGCTTATTTAATCGTGTTTCAAGTCCATTTACCTTTTTTGAGTCTAAGGAAGACTCAGTCAGAAGGGGTAGAGGGAAGAGGATTAATACATGATTTTCTCTTTTTCCCCTTTTTCTTTTAACTTAGCCTGAGACTTATTTGAATGCCTGTTTCATATCGAGCTTTTAAGTATAACATTTGTGAGTGAAATTGCCCCTTTTATTTTCAAGGTAATTGAATTCCATTTTTCACTTTCCATTTCCCTCTAGAAAAATCAAAACGTTTTCAGAGCTTGGCTTCTTAGTGGGTGATTTTCTAGGGTGGGAACTTCAGAATCATAAGACATTCTAGTGTGGCAATGGCATTCAGGACCCAGACGGCCAGGTCCCTTCTCGGCAGATGAATAGCCTCCACCAGCCGGTCTTGGAGAACATGTTAATTTCACTGTGTTTTTATTTGAAACACTGAAGGAATGCCCATACCTTGTCCTTGGGCCAGGGCTGGGGTGAAGGGAGCTGGATTTCTGTCCAGAATCTTGTCATCTGTAGGGCAGCTGAGGGGCATTATTACTCAGAGGCAAAAAGGCCTGGAACCCTGTGCTAAACTGGTTTAGATTCATGTCCCTGAAAGTGTTGGACAAAGGAGAGTCGATTTTAGGTGGCACCTGGACACGACTTTAAATAACACTGTATCACATAGTGACACAATGATTGTCTTTCCAACTCTTTTTCAGTCTTTCCCATTATCTTAGGGACAAAGTCTCAGTTTGGTGCTGTTGTGTTGAACTATCTTCTCATCTCTGTTTTTTAAAGACAGATCAAGCCTTAGTCTTAAGGCTTTAAAAGGTAATAGTTTCTGATTTGGATTTAATAACATTGTTTTATTTCCTTTTTAACATTTTTATGATAACTTTTGCTTTATAGCAGTTTTAAAAATAAGATAAAATTTTCATTTGAAAACAAGTTGGTTGGAGATTTTTTTCACTCTTATGCAGATGACCCCCCCCCCTTCACAGCATGTGAGCCACTGAAGTCGGGGAAGCGGGAGCTTAGGTGGTCAGGCAGGAAATTCAAGGAGGTTGATTTCTCCCAAGTCAGAGATGATTGCCACTTACTGGAAGGCTGTGTTGGAACAGAGTGGGTGGAGGCATGGGGAACAGAGCTGATTTCCAACCTTTCCACTGCCCTCACGGCATGTGTGTGTCTTGGCCTTCTTTGGTTTTCTCATCTGTGGAATGGGTTTCATGAGCAGTTGGAGGAAAGCAGACTAGCTTCATTTTCTAAAATAGGGTGAGTGGTGTGAATGACATTCACCCCAAAGGTGCAGGCTCCCTACTTCTGTTTTCTTATTGCCAGGGCTCCAAGTTTGCCTCTGGGTGGAAGGGGAAGGTGGACTAGAACTCATACACGCTGCCCCCTGGTGAAGAAATGCACCCTGAGGCCAGAAAATAGCATAAACCCATCTGGCAGCCGCAGCCCAGCAGTGTGAAGATCAAAGTCACGTGTGAGTTTCGTGCAGTGACAGAGCCTTTCCCCTTCTCAGGCTGCAAATCTTTGGCAATCGGAGGCAGGCTCTGACTTAAGCTTAATTAAAATTCACTCTTAATTAGGGCCATTACTTAAAATCAATTCTACATAATAAAGCTGTGTAATCATAATTAAGGCCCAGAAATGGGATTAGGAAGGAAAGAATGCAAAAGCCAAACATGGGTGAGCCTGGTGCTGGCGGGGGCAGCAGCAGAGACTTCTCGAATTAACAGAATTTTCAAATAGCCAAGGCCCTGTGAGGGCTCTGATGAGAACCTCGGTGGCAGGCAGCACGGCAAGCTAATCAGAAAAAGGATTTGAGATGAACGGACCCCCAGAGGCAAAGCTCCGTGGTGCGGTGTTATGGGCAGGGGGAAGGAATGGCATAAAACGGAGGGACCAGATGAATCTCCTCTCTGGGCCCTGTTTCCCCAGCTGTGAAATCAGGGTGGAGGGCAGCTGTTTCCAAGCAAGGATGTCTCTAATGGCTGTCTGCAAACTCAGGACCCCTGATGTGGGGCTCTCCTGAGGGATTTCACGGCAGCGAAGTCAGGATCGATGCCATCTGCTTGTAGCTTGAGAGGGTTCCTATGGAGTTAAGTTTAGTAGTTGGCATCATTGCAGTGTGGTTGTTTATTTTTTAACTCCTAATGAAGGAGGAGGTGTGAAGTAATATTTGCTAATCTCTTGCTTCCACACTGATGAGCACATAAAAATTAGGAGCTTGGTTTTGGAAAGAGACAATCAGCTTTGAATTTTGGATGTGCCAATTAGTGGCCAAGTGGTCGAGGGAAACATTGACTTCACTTTTCAGTTTATTCGACTGTCGTATGAGAATTCTAATCATAGTAGATGGCTTGAAGGCTGTTCTGAGAATCATGCGTATGCTCACAGCACAGTGCCTGGCAAACAACAACTAATTTTATATTGTTTCCATGTATTTATAGTGTTGATTATATTTACATTTTGAATTTACTGTGCGTCAAGCACCGTTCTGTTTTACATGTATGAGCTAATTTTATTTTCACAATCACTTTCTGAATAAGCATTATTATTTTCTCTGGTTTCTAGATAAGGAATCTGAGGCTCAGAGAGGTTAAGTATCTTGCCTAAGGGCACACAGAAAGTAAGTAGCAAATAATAAGAGCCATACAAATGGTAGTTATTATTATGAGGATACTATCTGTCTATCTGTATGTGTTTGGAAGCTACAGTGAAGCCCCAGGGGAGGTCACTTACCTGTCATTGTCTCCCAGAACCCAAGCCTGTGCTTCTAATACTGCAAGAGTAAGGCCAGGCATTTGAGTTCAGAGCGCAAGGGGCTGCCAGGTATGGATTCTAGAGCAGTGGAATTGGAGCCCAGAGGGAAAGCCAGAGAGAGCTTCTCCCCACACCTGTTTTTCTTTAATTAATTATTTTATTTTAAAGATGGAGTCTCTCTATGTTGCCCAGGCTGAACTCAAGCTCCTGGGCTCAAGGGATCCTCCCGCCTCATTCTCCTGAGTAGCTGCGATTGCAGGCGTGCACCACCATGCCCCGCTCTGTATCTGTGTTTCGACTCGGCGTTTTCGTTCCGTTCACACCTCTCATGCCACATATATGAGTGCTAACTGTGTGCTTGAAGCTGAGTTGGCCTGGACATACACTATCTTATTTAGTTTTTACCACAGCCTCACAAGTCAGGAAATGTTTCTCCCATTTTGCAGATGAGGAAACTGAGGCTCAGAAAAGCAAAGTTCATTGACAAAAGTAGAATATATCCTTTAACCTCAAATTGGCACTGGGCTGGAAATTGGATTTTCAATCCATGTCATCAAACACCATGCAGTTCCAGAAAAGCTGCTCAGACTGGGGTACCTCCCAGACTCTGCCTCTGCTCACACCCAAGTCAGCAAAAAGGACTTTTCTTTTTCTTTTTTTTTTTTTGTTTGAGATAGAGTCTTGCTCTCATCGTCCAGGCTGCTGCAGTGCCGTGGTGCGATCTCGGCTCATGCAACTGCTGCCTCCTGGGTTTAAGCAATTCTCCTGTCTCAGCCTCCTGAGTAGCTGGAATTACAGGTGTGCACTGCCATGCTCGGCTAATTTTCTGTATTTTTAGTAGGGACAGGGTTTCACCATGTTGGCCAGGTTGGTCTTGAACTCCTGACCTCAGGTGATCCACCCGTCTCTGCCTCCTAAAGTGCTGGGATTACAGGCGTGAGCCACCGCACCCAGCCAGGACCTCTCTACAACTAGATTTAGAACCAAAGATGCCTTGGTGCTGGAGATGTCCTGCAGTTCACATTTCCCAGACAGCCTGAGGCCTATGCAGTGATTCCCCTCAGTGGTATCCATTCTGCTTATATGCCTCCAGTGAGAAGGACATCACCACTAAATTCTCACTTTCTTTGACAGAATGGAGCCAGAGAGAAATTTATCCTGGAACTAGTATTCATGAAGGCCTTCCAGTTCAGACTCAATACCATTGCCAAGTCAGTGTGTTTGGGTGAGTATGTGTTGAAAGCGTTAATTTGTTAAATGCAAAAGTTTCAATTGTATCACAATTTTTGCAAATCTGTGTTAGAATTTCCTCATTTGTTAACAAGTCAAGAACATTAATTGGAAAAGAAAATGGGATGAGGTCTGGTCTCTTGTCCATGCCTAGGGCCTCTGAGAGTCAGCAAAGACATTCCTCGTTGAGCTCAGATTTGTATGTTTGTGACATTTCTGCTCCCTGGCAAGGGTCCAGAGAGGACTGGCTCAGGGAAGGCGTATGGTGCCACTGCCACCCTTGACCTGGTTGTGTGGGAATGAAGGGAAGTCTTGCTCTGATAAGGAGGAGTACACGATTACTGCTCAGTGCCAACCTGATGCCGCCCAGGGCCCTCCTGTGGCTGAAGGGAGGGTAAATGGTGGAGGGTAGGGGACCTGGTGGCCAACTCAAGTTTCCTAGGATCCCAGAGGGTCAGCTCTATAAGCAAATGGTGACCACTTCCTTGTGCCTGCACCAGGCACCCCGCCACACAGCTCCAGGGGGCACCATTTTCATGGTATTTTATGTCAATGCCTCCCTGTGGAGTTGTGCTACACAGAGTCCCTGAGGCAAACCCCAGCTCCAGGGAGCTGAACCCCACATGGAAATACTGGGCCCCAGTGCTCACAGACCCTGACTCCTGACCTGAGGAGGCTGCCGTCCCTCTCCCTGCACAACCTCTTTGTCCTTCAGCACGAGAGCATTTGCCTCTATTTACACTAAATAGAGCCAGCTCCACTTGCTGGTTCCTGTATTTTGGGCAAGCCGAGCTAGAGGCCCCCGAAGCCAGTCCGAGCAGGCAGCTGCGTGTCCTGGTGGTGGTCATGCGATGGCTCTCCTGGCCAGGTCCTCCTCCAACAACGTTTACTAAACACCTTATCTCCCTGAAAACACATGAGCTAATGTTTATGAAAGATCACCCTGTCCCTTCCACCAGGCAGTGGGGGTGCCGGGGTATACTCCCTTACCTTCTTTTCTTCCCTTTGCCCTCTTCTGTTCCCCTCATTTGGGTAGAAAACCACACTGGGTCTTCCCTCACTGCAGGCCTGAGTGCAGAGCAGACCCTCCACAGGACTTTCCATCAGCTCCATGTCTCCACTTTCCAGGGCGCATGCACCGCCCCTGGGAGTGTGGTCAGCCTCATCGTACACAGGGGGAAGCGGGCTGAGAGCAGCAGAGCCTCTTGGCCAAAGTTATAAAGTGGGTTGGTGGCTGGCCTGGGGACCCAGGCTACTGACTCCTAAAGCCTCCTCTGAACTGCTGTATTTGTGATAACCATTCATTTAAACAATCCTGATTTTTCTACGGATGGATGGCTGGGTGGATCAATAGCTAGTTATATACATAAATAGGAAAAAAAGAGCTGAACAAATGCATAGGTGGATAGAGATGATTGTGTGGATAGAGAGGTGACTGCAGACAATTCTGGAAGAAAACAGGAGAAACTGTGGACAACAGCAGCCTCTAGGAAGGGACTAAGGCATCTGGGGAAGAGAGAGAGAGATGACTTTTTTCTTTTTTGCTCTCTCTAAACTGTTGGAATGTTTTTATGTGCATACATTAGTTTTTTAAAAATCTCTTTTGCTATTTTTTGCCCTCTCTTCTTGTGTGTCTGCCTACAAGAGAAATAAGAAGCCAACACACTAGAAAAGTTGCAGGAGATTCCTAGGGGTACCCACAAAGTTAACTCCTTGCCAGAAACCTGCTCCTCCAGATGAATCCAGCGCACTGGACTGGCTCAGATGCACAGGTGGCACAGACCTCTACTGAAAAGAACAATAGTGGAAGGCCGATGAAACCCAGATTTTGAAGTCTGAGAGCCACGTGGGGCTGCCCCAGTTACCTCTACCCCGGGTCAGTGACCAGAGAATCCTTTAGCAGCAGGAGCAGGGATGTTTATTTCACTGGTATGTATAAAGCAACTGACTGAAAACAACCTGCATGCCCAGCAACTTAGAACTGGTTAAATGATTTTTGGTTAAGCCACACAGTGGAATATCATGTGGCTATTAAGAATAAGTCAAAAGTCCTAGACTTCCCATATTCAACATTAGATTTAAAATAACTGAACAAACACCTTCACAATTAGGCTTCCTCAGGTTGAAACGTAAAGCCAAGTCAACGTGTGTCAGAATGTTAACAACAGCTAACTCTTGGTTGTGATGTTCTGAGTAACTTCTGAGTAACTTATATTATTTTTCAGGTTTTTTTTTCCACTACTAATGTGCAAATATACACATTTGTAAAGATCAATAACATAAATCTTTGCATAGGCAGATTGGAAGGAAATCAGACAAAACCATACCTTTGCGTAGTAGAATTATAAATCATTTTCTTCTTCTCTAGAGTTTCTGAATTTTCTGCATTTGATATGTTTATCTTTATAAAGGGTCCATCATATTTATGATGATTTTTTTTAAAGACAAGTAGACAGGGAAAGAGGGGTCTCCTGTTGCAAAACCAAAGCTGCAGGCTCTCCAAAGCCCACTTACGTCAGTTCAATTGATATTGCATGAACCTCTAATGTGCAATTCACTTTCCACTGAGGGGGATGAGAAATACAGAGATGAAGGAGATGCAAACACTTTAAACAAAGAAATCACAGTCCAGTTAGGAAGATAAGATTCGGCATTATATAAATTACAAGGTCTTATCCAAGAGGTTAGCCTGTCAAGAGTAACAGCAATAATTACCCAACAATATGTCAGAGTGTCTAGGAGGTCCAGCTTCAAAGCACTTCATCTTCATTCTTAAACTCATCTCAATTTCTTAACCATATGGGGCCCAAGCCTCAGCTACCTCTTCTGTAAATGTAAACTACCTCTTAGGGTACCTTTTGAGAGGATTAAATGAAACTTGAGCATGAAGGGGCTGAGCTAGGTGCTCTGGAAATAGTCCTTCCTCAGCATGAGAGACGTTACCATCATATGGCTGTGGTGTTTGTGGCCACCTATCTGCAAGTTATGCTTTCACAGATATGGCAGAGCTGGGATTTGAACCCACACTGATCTAATTCCAAAGCCAATGATTCTACCCCAACCAGACACTGCATTTACTCTCTGAGCCTAACTGAAATTTGTTCTAAACCTCACCCTAAGGTCTTGCCAGAAAGAAAAGCTAATTTTTCATTAAAAGATCAAAGGAGAAATGAATCTATTTCAAAGGACATAAGAGGAAGAAGGAAATATCCCTTCATGCAGGATTTTGCAACTTCGTCCATGCTTCTACGGCGTGTAAAAGTAAAAATCCTATACTTTCCATATTCAATGTTCAATTTAAAACAACTGAACAAACACCTTCACAATTAGGCTTCCTCAGGTTGGAATGAGAAGTCAAGCCAACACATACCTTTTGCTGCAGAAGATTTCTGCACTGTGAATGTGAGAGGATTTGCCTCCTTAAGCAAAGGGTGCTGGTGTTTCCTGGCTGGAGGGTAGAAAGTCATGAACAGAAAGCAAAGCGCAGGGAAAGGGCAGCGTGTGGGGAAGAGCCCCAAGGATCTCAGTATGAAAACCAAGAGGCGTGCACCAACTTGCAGGTTTGGGCTACAAGTCTGGGGAAACTGGTTCAAAACCAACGGAGGCCCAAAAGCAGAGGGAAAATTCTGTTTACAGGCTTCCACGTCATTCAGAAATGTACCTCCTTGAAAAGAGTTAATATGTTTTTTCTTTTATAAAAATTTCAATAGGTGTTTGGGAAACAGGTGGTGTTTGGTTACATGAATAAGTTCTTTAGTGGTGATTTCTGAGATTTTAGTGCACTCATCAGCTGAGCAGTGTACACTGAATGTAGTCTTTTATCTTTCACCCGCCTCCCACTTGGAAGAATGGTCTCCAATGCCATCCAGATTGCTGAGAATGCCATTATTTCATTCCTTTTTATGGCTGAGTTGTATTCCATGGTGTGTGTGTGTGTGTGTGTGTGTGTGTGTATGTGTGTGTGTGTGTGTGTATAAAACAATTTCTTTATCCACTCATTGATTGATGGGCATACGTCCTAGTTCCATACTTTAGCAATTGTGAATTGTGTTGTTATAAACATACATGTACAAGTATCTTTTTTGTGTAATGATATATTTTCCTCTGAGTGAATACCCGGTAGTGGGACTGCTAGATCCAATGGTAATTCTACTTTTAGTTAAGAAATCTCCACACAGTTTTCCATAGTGGCTGTACTAGTTTACATTCCCACTGGCAGTGTAAAAGCGTTTTCCCCCGTCCCTCTGGTCGCCTTTTTAAGGGATCTACATAAACTCAACTATAACCCATCCCATCCCATCTCCTCCTGCCTCAAGCTAGAAAATAGGAGTGCAGATAAGAAAACAGTACAGATAAGAGTGCTGGAAGGGTGTGTGTTTGAATAAGAAGGAACACAGGTAAACAGATCGGGTCACAAGTACAGTACCTGAGGCAGGTATGAGGTGTAGCTAACAGAGTGAAGTGGGCAGAAAAGGCTTCCAAAGAAGAAGGTACTTGAGTTGGGTCTTCAAGGCTATGGTGAGTGGTTTCCTAGCGGATCTGAGAAACCAAGGTGACTTCAGGGAGAGGGAAGAGCGCGCAGTGAGGCATGGGAACGCACACTGTGTTTTCAGAGAGCTTGGTGGGTTGCAACGTCTGGATCCCAACTGTGTGTAGAGGAGACTTGGGACAATAAGGCCACTGTGCAGGTAGGACAGCCCCCAGAGGGTCTTGACTGACAAGCTGAGGGACATGCTATAAGAGTAGGGGCCAGGGGAAGAGATGGACTCTGATTGGCTCCCTGGCAGTGGGTCCCTTGTGTGCTCAGCAGCTCATGGATACCAGAGGATAACAGGCCCGTACCTCCATATTGCCCAACAGGTTATCACATCTTCAGTTTGGAGAGAATTAAATTAGTCTAAATTTATCGTTTACCAGATGACTTTGGATAAGCACATATTTGGAACCTAAGAGAATTCATCCATTCATTTGCTCATTCAGAACAGTTCTTGTGCAATCACTTCATATTCAGTGCTGCTGAAATTTCTTTGGGGGCTACACAGGTTAGTAAGGCTTGGTTTTAATCTCTGGAACCTTACAGCCAGAAGGAGGGAGAGGTGAGTACTAACTCCACGGTGTTATCCCAACAACTCTGCTAGTCACTTCCCTTTCCACCACCCCTTCAAACACTTCAGTGGACTTTCATCTCTCAAGAAAAATGCAAACTCTCATCTGGGCCTAAGAATCTCTATATGGGCTACCCCTGCTCACCTCTGGAGAGGCATCGCCTTCCACCCTCCACCCCTCCTTCTGCTCCATCCTCATTGACCCTTCTTTCAATGATCCTGATAGGATGCCCTTCAGCCACAGGCCCTTAGCAAATGCTGCTCCCGTGGCCCAAGTCATCTTCCCTGGTTCGTGCCTACTTCCGATTCAAGTTGTTACCCCTTGCGAGAGTGTTACCAATCAATGTGAAATGACCAAGTCCTTATTACACACTCTCAAACTCCACAAGATGTTCTTCATAGCTCTCATCCCAGTTAAAATTAGTTTGTACTTCTTTATACGATGACTGTATTAATGTCTTTATTCTCCACCAAACTGAGAGTCCATGAGGGCCTAGACTGTGTGCTTTCTAAAAATCAGCTTTAGGCTGGGTGCGGTGGTGGCTCACGCCTGTAATCCTAGCACTTTGGGAGGCTCAGGTGGGTGGATCACCTGAGGTCAGGAGTTGGAGACCAGCCTGACCAACAAGGTGAATACTATACTAAAAATACAAAATTCTTTTTGTATTTTGTATTTTGTCTATACTAAAAATACAAAAATTAGCCAGGTGTGGTGGCAGGTGCCTGTAGTTCCAGCTGTTGGGGAGGCTGAGACAAGAGAATTGCTTGAACCCAGGAGGCAGAGGTTTCAGTGAGCCAAGATTGCACCACTGCACTCCAGCCTGGGTGACAGAGCAAGACTGTCTCGAAAAAAAAATCAGCTTGATTGTGGTTGAATTTATGTATAATAAACACACCCATGTTAAGTGTACTTATCAATGAATTTTTAGAAGTTCATTAAAAATGTATATATTGGTGTAACTGCCACTACCACAATCACATACTGAACATTTCTATCACCTGAAGAGGCTTCACAGTGCCTCTTCTCCATCTGTCCCCACCCTCAAGCAACCATGGATCTACTTTCTGTCCCTGTACATGTCTTTTCTGCAGCATTGTATGAGTGGAATCATACAGTAGACATTCTTTCGTGCCTGGCTTCTACCATTCGACATGGAGTTTTGAGTGTCATCTGTGCTGTGTGCATCAGTAATCTGTTCTTATTTATTGCTTAATGATACTATTTTCTGAGTGGCTCATGGGGGTTAATTCTGTCTCTGCAGGTAAGCCATCAGCCTCCTGAGGGCAGAGGCCACATTTCCTGATACTCTGACATTTGTTATGAGTCTGACATATAGCTGACCTTTGGGGGTGACACATTCCATCTTCTCTGACCCAGAGTATGGGAGTGACTTTGTCCCCATACTCAACAGTCACTATGACACACACAGCAGCCCTTCCCTCCAAATCCCACAAGTTAAACCTCTGGGCCCAGCAAGCCCCAGCACATCTGCCTCCCTTCAGAGTCATTCTGATGCTTCCAACAGCCACAGAAAGAAGCTCTGGATCAGCCACGAGATGTGGGGGAGTCCAGGTGATGTGGAGTTGATCATGGGGGAGTCCCTCCAGCACTGTGAACTTTTATTTCCTTCTTTGTCAAATGGAGGCACCAATATCTACTTCACAGGATCATTAAGGGGTCCCATGTGTGTGAAGGTGCTGTGCAGAGTGGGAAATACAGTGTGGTATACTGATGGTCCATTTGATCACTTAATTTCACCCCCACCTGGATTAACTGCCTATGTTACCAGGGACATGGCTCTTTCTCTCCTGGACCTTCAGTTTCTGTTCCTGTCAGGTGAGCGGTTGAACTAGAGCTCTCTAAGCTGCCTTCCATCCTGGACCCTCTTGGGGATTCTAAGTTGCGGAGCAACAGAGAAGGGGCCTGTCTGGTTTTCCAGCATTGGAAAAATTGGGGTGATTTATTTTTAGAACAACTGGCTGCTCTGAAAATTCTCTTCGTGGGTAAAGGAAGTCAGCCTCCAGTTTCCAGATCAAGACAGTGTTTTGCATCCATAGGCTTAACTCTGTAGCTATTTATAAGCCCATTAGGGAAAATAATAGAACTCCTTATTTCCGGGTGGGCTGGCTGGTGCGACCAAGCATGTCCTTTGCTGGGAACTGGAGCTTTAATGGGGATAAATGTGTCCCAAGTCATTGGCAGAGCAGGAACAGCATTTCATTTTGGAAGCCAGTAGTTTAGTTAAAACTACCTCTACATGGGCCTATTCAACAGAATATCCCTGGGTACCTACTGTGTGTTAGATGCTTCACATATATTGTCACTCTCAAAAGCTCTATGATAGGGACATTGGGCCACATTTCAAGATGGAGAAATGGGCTCAGCGGCGGATGCCTTCACACATTTCCTCAGTTAGGAAATGGCCAAGTTGGGGCCAGAATACCAGGTCCTTTTCACTGTAAAAGGCCCTGGACTAGCACAGAGGCTGTAAAGATAATTCAGAGATACTTGAGTTCTTTGTGGCCAGTAATAAGAGGCAATAGTTTAATATTTACTAAAGAGGAATTTAAGAATGTCAAGACATCCATAGCTTAGCCATCTAATTTAACTCCTTCATTTTACTGAAGAGCAGATGGAAGTCTAGAGAGGTGACCTGACCTGCCCAGGTGACAGGTGGCTGGCCGCAAAGCCAGAACTGTTGCTTACGCAGGGCTCCTGACTCCCAGGTTGGAGTTTTTCACTGCCACAGCACCTGACTCCAGGGGCAGACTGGGGAACTGTTGCCAGAACAAGGAGACGGAGAAGTAGGAACAAGGCTAATTCCAAGTCGCCTGTCTCCGTATTCAGAGTTCAGAGTGAAGAAGAACAGAGTTCTGGGAACCTGTCAGTGGAGACCATTTCATAACCACACTTTTAAAATAGCAAAATACCATGTTTTTTCCTGTGACCTCCTGCAGACACAAGGGCAAATTTCAGAACAGCCATTTAGTGAGATTCTGGTTCCTTACTTCTGACCCTTGGACACCCTCACTTACCAAGACCCTAAGAGATCATCATTCACCAAGACC